TCCTTGTCTCTGGGATGGATCCTTTCTAATAAAACGATCCTTGTTCTCACCTCCATTTCTGTCTCCTCGCCTTCCCTTTCAATCACCTGTCCTAACAAAGCCTCGGTCCATACGAGGATTATTTCTAAGCATGGCACAACCAAGGGAATCGTCCAGGGCCAGTCTTTCTGCTGTGTATTCTTAGCGCAAGTCTGTCTGGGTAAGGAAGACCAAACCAAGTTGTTCACGGCACACAGCAAGAGGGACGGCGTGTGGCACTACACTTGTCCCACAGAGTGAAGCAGCCCCGGCCTGTGAGGACTTCACGCCTCTCATGGAGACCCATGGACACAACCCTTGACTTCTTCACCTGAGAGGTGGCCCTAGCCCAGGGAGTGTCTAGAATCTTCCCCATGTTTCCATGGCACCCACACAGCCGCCCCCATTCCTCAGAAAACTAAAGCAAGCTCCCCCGCCCAAGCCAGCTGATAAGAAGCAAAGGGCGAGTAGAAGTGTCCTGAGTGTTATCAGGACGAGGGCTCAGAAGACAAACGCCCCCAGCTCCTCTGAAACCAGAAGCCACCCACACACACTGCCGAGACCCCAGTGCCAGTGCCTACCTTGTGACGGGCCCCGTGAGCACCTCTGTGGTGAGTAACCCCGTGAGGACCACTGAGGACCCAGCGCCGGGGAGCAGCGTATAGACAGAGAAGGGAACCCTCAGACCGTGTAGACTTGGTCCCTCCTTCTGGTCAGCCTGGGCTGTGGACCTTCAGTCTTCAGGCTGCCTTGGCAGTGGGAACTGCGCCAGACGGACCATTGTGTGACTTAAGAATTGAATCTCCACCCAGACACATACTTCATGGTGTGATGCAAACACCGCTAAGCCCTTTCCAGACCTTTGAGACACCCCTCGATTTCAAAACCACCTGAAGAGACCCCTGAGAATTGAGTCAAAGAAGTAGAAGCTCATTTGAGTACAAAGCCCGCAGCCTCCCTCCCTCAACTGATGCCAGTTCCCAGGCCAGGAGAGGTCTGCTTTAAATGCCTCGGTCTTCTCCGCGTCCTTTATGCCAAGGGGCCTTTTGGAGGTCCCTTTAAGGGCACAGGGAAGCTGGTGAATGGTTTTAAGCTGGGGAGTTTGTGAAATCATTCTAACTCCAACCAGGACTGGGAGAAAACTACTTAGCAGGAGGAAGCCCAGCTGTGAAGGAAGCAGGTCTGTTTGAAACATCCCTGTTCAAACCTATTGCTGTGGGGTGGGGTCTGACTCACACCAACCAGCAAACAAACGACCCTCTACCAGGTGCCCGTGGCTGTGAGCCATTACAGGAGGGGACCACCCATCCTTCTCCTTGGAGAACAGCTGGTGGTGGTTCAAATGAATGATCTTCGTGTTATTAACACAACCTGTGGTGACCACGCCCCCAGTGATCCTTCTTGGAATCATAGTTCGTAAATTGTTGTGCTGTTGGGTCAGAACCGATTCATAGCTGGTCCTCCAGCGGGTTTACAGAGGCAGCAAGTCACAGGAGGACATTGGCCGGCTTTCTCCCTTGAAGCCGCTGTGGTGGATTCGAACAGAAGGAAAGTAGATCTTCGGTATACTTCCCATACTCACTTTATCCATCTTTACAATCAGTACAAGCAGTGCCAAAAGTTAAATGAAGGGCTGGGAGGAAATGTTCGCAGACAAGGTCGATGAGATGGGCTGGCAGGAACTTCAACAAGCCTGGAACCAGCACAGCAGGTGGGACGAGGGTGGAGACACCTGGGCGGGGGAGGGAGCTCTATCAAGCCGACCTAAGAGCAGGGAAGCCCAAGGTCAGGCAGTTTGCAGAAAAGGAAACATGAGTGGCATTATATGAAAGAATGCTCAGCCACGCTGGTTAGGACAGGGACGTTCAAATGAAAATAAGCACCTGGTCACTTTGAAAAAATTATTTCAGGGAGCTCTGGTGGCCTAGTGGCAAGACGCTGTACTGCAATCCCAGAGGTACGCAGTTCAAATCCACCAGATGGGGGAGCTCTGATGGCCTAGGGGCAAGGAGCTGCAACTACAATCCCAGAGGCGCACGGTTCGAATCCACCAGATGCTCTGCCGGGGAAGGAGGGACAATCTCCTCTTGTACCAGTCAGATCTGATTTGACGGTACACTCGCACAAAAACAATAAAATTTTAAAAAAAAATTTAAAAAAAAATCCACCAGATGCTCTGCTGGAGATGGAGGGGGCAATCTCCTCCTGTACCAGTCAGATCTGATTTGATGGTACATGTAAAAAAAAAATTACTTCACAGAACTAAATGCAGTCATGGGTAAGAATATACAGAGATCTACACAATCACCGCAGACAATCAGGAGACAAGGGCATTCTTCACATTACTACTGCCCTTCTGAAAAAACAAAAAGTGCATGGCTTACAATTGAAAGTTTTAACCACCTTGTTAAACAGTCAGCTTGTTAACAAGTCTTATCAGAGCCGTTTTTTCAAATGATGTGTGCTCGCTTCGTGCCTCTTGGTCACGTTTTTGTCATTCTCAGAATATTTCAGAGTTTTTCATAATGCCAGCTCACGCCTAAGGGACTGCGGCACCGTGTCAACATAACAAGCTGGGAAACCCAGACATTGCTCATTGCTTTTTTGTGATATTTGCTTGATTGTGGTGGTTGGGAGCCAAAGCACGAGATCTCTAAAGAGAGAGAGAAAGACATCATGGTTTGTCAGAATAAAACATGGAAAGGAACCTCAACAAGGAAATAGTTTAAGAAATGATGAGGTGCCCACATTATGAAATCTCATGCCCCTGTTGTTAACTTTTTCTTTACCTATCATTGTGCAGACTCACTTATGACAGTGAGCATATATTAATTTTTATTGAGATTTTAGTGAAAGATTATAGAGAACTTGGATTTCCATTCATTCATTGTTGCACATTTTCCTCCCTGCCCACCCTTCCTCCCCCAGTTTGCTTTTTTCTTTGAAAAGAAAAAAAAGAATTGTTCTACAATCTCCCTCTGCAATCTCCTTTACTATGTAGCTCTTATTCTGGACTCTTGTCGTACAAATAATACCTAATCATATATCCCTTTTAAACAATTCTCTCCATCTGTTTCAAGGCAGGGTTCATCATTTATCCCCTCTTTTCTTAGTTTTCCCCTAAACCCAATGTCAGCCGTGTTTTATAACAGTGGTACTATGCAGTATTTGTCCTTTATGACTAAGATATTTCATTGAGCCTAACGTCCTCCAGGGTCACCCATTTTGCATAATATGAGTTCCTTCTTTTTCAGTGCTGCATAGTGTTCCATTGTGTGAATATACCACAGCTTCTCTATCCATTTGTTTGTTGATGGGCACTTACGTTGTTTCCAGCTCTTTGCTGTTGTGAACAAAGCTGCAATAAGGATGGGTGTGCATTAACTTTTTTATTGTAAATATATAATTAAGACAGAAGAGAAAGCACCGCCTCTGTCCCCAGGTGACACAGAAATGCCATGATTCCGAGATCTCACTGCCTTGCTCTCTGCTTTATTCTAGAAGCAATTCGTATTGCTGTGCGGAGGTAACTCGTGGTTGCTGTGATGCTAAACACTGTGACAGTGATACATCAAATGCAATAGTGGTTACCCACGGTGGACAGTGTTTGGTGGAACTTTCCGATTAAAACAAACTTGAAAGCAGGAGTGGCATCCACTCCCGAAATGGCTTGCCTTCGGAAACTCTACGAATAGTGCTCAGGTCTTTCGTTCATAGGGTCATTATGAGTCGTCTACAACTCAATGGCACTTAACAACAACAATCACAGTGGAGCACCGTTCAGTAAACTATTTTCTTTCTTGGGACCAGTGATCAGATGACTATATCGACACATGTCCTCAAAACCCTTAGGTCTTCTCTTGAGTTGGTTCCCTGCCGCTATCATTGTTGTTGTTAGGTGCTGTCGGGCAGCTGCTCTCATCCTGACTCTGCCATAGAGCAGGGCCCTGCCTGGTCCTGCTCCGTCCACAGTCTTACCTGTGCTTCGTCCACTGCTGTGGTCACCACGTCAGTCTACCTCACTGACATTCAGCTCACTGTCATAGAGTCACACCCGACTCATTGCTGACCTGCCATTCATTTTGGGGGGGCTGTAAATTGTATGGGAGGAGGTTGCCCATCTTTCTCCTGTGGAACCACTGGAGGGTTTGAACGGCCAGAGAGGTGATGTCTTTGTGTTAACAGAGCAAGTTTCTATTGCTGTGTCAGCAGAGCTGGCACTGAGGGGGTGGTCTTACTGCTCACCCTCTGTTTTCTAAGCCTGATGTCCTTCTCCAGAGATTGGCCCACTGGATAACATGGCCAGAGTCTAAGATGAGGTCTCCCAACTCCTCCTTCTATTTTTAAAAAATAATGTCTTTCTAAAAATTATTATTATTATTATTAATTTTAATGGAAATTTACAGAAATTTTTTATTTCCATTCATTCATTGTTGCACTTTTCTCCCTTCCCACCCCTCCCTCCGGTTCGTTCTTCTCTTTGAAAAATAAATTAAAAATTTTCATTGTTATATAATCCCTCCCCTTAAGTCCACTCCACTATGCAGCCTTTGTTCTGGACTCCTGTCATGATAATAATACCTAATCATATATCCCTTTTAAACAGTTCTCTCCTTCATCTGTTTTAATGCAGGGCTCATCATTTATCCCCTCTTTCGCAGTCTCCCCCAGTCCCAGTGTCAGTCCCATTTTACAACAGGGACACTATGCAATCGCTCCTTCTAAGGAGCACTCTGGCTGCATTTCTTCCAAGCCCTGTTTGTTTCTTTGGCAGTTCCTGTTTTATTCACTTTTCTTCATGACACCCTAATTCCCAGACATTGGTTCTCCTGTCGTTGTTGTTTATTTTATAGCAAAATAGACTCTCATTAGACAAGTCTATTCATGTGGCTGATAATGAGCTGTGAATTTAACCTCAACCTTTTCTGTTCTTCCAGGAGCTCCCCTTCCCGACTCTGTGACCTCCACTATCATCCAGGAAAATGTCCAAGCAGGTAAGCATATCAGTTCCTCAGCCCTGACACTCTCTGTCTGCTGAAGAGAATTCATTTGCCATGGAAAGATACCCCACGAGGAATATTGTCTATATTTGAAACTCAACCAGCATTTCAAAATTTGCCTTTGTTTGCTTCCTGCTGCATGATTTGGGAAATTCTAGCATTTACAGGAGCTCTTGCAAAAAGGTCTCTTCTCTTTGTTCACAGAAGAAATACCAGCTAGAGCCCCAGATTGCTGGCCCCACCAACTGACGGTGTTTCTCCAAAGACCCTTTCTCTGGGGACCTGCTGGCATCGTCCCAGACATGCAAGCCTCTGAACATGGACTTTGATGAGACTCTGAAGAACCCAGACAAGTAAGCAAACCATGCTTATAGCAGGGGTGGGCATCAGGGAGGGCTGCACTCCCGGAGAGGTGCCCAGTGGCTGGGCCACTGGGACTCAAAGGAGGTCAGGGAAGGTCTCCTCTGGCTCCTTCCTACGAGAGACGTGGTCGGTGTCAGAAGTAACCGCTTTTTCTGAGAATGTCTATGGTGGTGATCAAAGTACAGAAGACAAATTCTGCCATTGTTTCCCTCTTGATTTTCCTTTGCATTTTCGACCACTGATCCTGAAAGCATTCTCTTATCAGTATATCATTCAGGGACTGATTGGTTTGTTGACAAATCAATTCAAATCTCTAAGAGAGACTGGCTCTCTCCTAAACCCAAGGGCTCTGGGGGCGGAGCCCATGGGGAGTTGTGCTGTTCACAGTAGGTGTCTTCACGGGCATCTCCACAGAGGAAGGATGGGCACTCTCCTCCTGTGTGATTTACAGCCTCTGCAAACCTGCGGGAGGCTCCGTTAGGAGCTGGTTCCAGCTGGCTGGCAGTGAGGTGCACTGAGTTTAAGCCTAGTTCTCATGAAGTCAGCTCCAGGTCAGAGTACAGCAGCATTTTGATTTTGGAATCAGATCACCAGGCCTTTCTTCGGAGGCACTTGTGGATCAATCCAAACCTCCAACTGTTCAGTCAGCCCCTGAGACATTGACCCTCTGCGACACCCAGGGACTCCAGACACCTCTGTGGACGCACATCTCCAGCCAGTCAGCTGGCTTCTGCTGGATGAGAGGCACAATCCCATGACGCCCTGGCTGTCCTCTCTTCCCTCTCTGCCTGCAGAATTTCCAAGGCCGTTAACTTTCTAAATAACATACCTCTGGAGCTCTATGAACTTTGATAAATGTTGATCGTTGTAGAGGGGCTTCAGGCCTTTTGTTCATAGGTCACTATGAGTTATGCTTGACTTGAAGGCAGTCAACAACAACAACAAAATGTCTTAGCAGGAGCTGACTGCTATGTCTTCCTTCCAATGAAGGCCAGGTGGATTTGAACTGTGCACCTTTTTGATTAGTGGCCAAGTGTTTAACTCACGGTGCCATCAGGTCTCATTATGAAACATAACACTCGCCCAGCTCTCTGCACCTGCCCCAGCCAGCCAGCCCGCAGTCACTGATGCTGTCATGCTTGCTTCCTCCACTTGAGGGCACTGTCTGCTTTCAGATGAGCTGCCCCGCGTGTGCCTGTGGGGTTCTCACAGTGGAGGTGTGCTCCCAGCGTGGAGGGACTTGGTTGTGTCTCTCAGTGGTTCACCCCCTGAGTGCTGCCGCCCTGGGTGCTGCCTAGCTGGCCACCTCTATCTGGTTGTAGTGTCTGTGACCTGCCATGACCCAGAGTGCCCTGGACATAGTCACTGGGAGATGGTGTGAGGAGTCCTCTAGCTCCCTACCTTCAGTGACTCCGTGGGAATGGGAGGCGGAGTGTGTGGGGTCCCTCTCAACCAGAACTTTCCGTGTTCCTTTTCTTTCTCTGTGATTGGGAACATTGCCTTAGCCATCAGAGCCCTATGAGATGTGTACACCATAGTTTCTGTAAAGAGCTCAGGACAGCGTGTGGCGTGTATGAGCATCAGGCAGTGTTGCTGGCTTCTCCCCCTCATTTAGACACAGAGCTCCAGAGATCGAAGGTCGTCTGCCTCAGGCAGGGGCTGGTGGGTGGGCCTCTCCCACAAAGAGGAGCATGAGCGACTGGCCTGATGTTCTTTTCTATCTGGTCCCAGTTCCCCTGAAGAGCATGGGTCTTGAAATCCTCATAAACTACAGGTCCACTCAGCAGCACATAAGGTCATCACGAGTCTCAATTAATTTAATGGCAACATTTGGGGGGCATCCCTGAGTCACTCCTTTACTTCTTGGCCTGTACTTCTGGGGTTGCCTCTCGCATAATCCTCACTTCCAAACCCGTGTCTCAGAATTTGCTTTGGTCTGAGAGCCAAAGTCTCAGTCCACCTCCTGCAGGACTGTGGTCTAAAATGAAGACGTCAGAAGGGAAGGCAGGTGGGGACCAGCTGTGATGCTGGGTCACATGCCAAGCCTTGCACAAGCCCTGGGCTCTTGTCTCCTGAGCAGCGCAAGCTTGTCCACTGAGGACTGCACAGAACCAAGAGACTGGGCCAGGGTCAGTGTGAGGCTGCCCAGTAAATAAGTCAATTTGATGCTGTGCGTGCTCAAATGAGCAAGCAGACTGCACGCCAGGTGGCTTGCTGCAGGAAGTCCACGGGAAACGTTGAATTTTCCCTTTTGCTTCTTTCTTTCTCTGCCCTGAGTTACATCGAGGGGAACTCCCAGCCTAACAGCACCTCCCCAGGACCCCCTCATGCCTCTCCATCACAGGCTGGTTAGTCCCACCTGGCCTTTAGCTCTTCGCTGCTAACTGGAAGGTTGATGGTTCGAACCCATCAACAGGAAAACCTGGTTATCTACTTCTAGAGAGATTCCAACCTTGCAAATGCACTGGGAGAAGTTCTACTCTGCCTTGTGGGATCACGAGGAGTTAGAATTGACTTATTGGTAATGGGTGGGTGGTGGTGGGAGTCTCCAGTTTCAATAGAACTCTGGTGGCATGATGGTTAAAGGGCTTTGCTGCTTACTTTAACAAATCACCGGTTCAAACCCACTCGATAACTCCGGGAAAGCCAAGACCTGATGAGATTCTTCTGTGAAGATTTGAGTGTTGGAGGCCTGACAGGGCAGTTCTTCCAGTAGGTGTGAGCCCAAAGCACAGATTCAGTCCCTAGCTGTCCCCACGCTCCCAGACGAAGGCCAGACGTGGGCTCTGCAGAGTGTCATGACAAATGACACGTCTTGACAAGCAGCCATGGCGTCAGGAGCGGTCAGTGCGGTCACCTCTGCTGCCCGGCAGCTCTTGACTCAGCTGACGACAGCGATGTTTGTGAGGGCAGCTGAGCTCATGGCATTGGCCATGTTTTCCAAAGGCCACGGCTCCAGGTTGAGACCGCAATCTGAGCCCTTGACCCCGAGGCAGCTGTCTCTGGACGTGTGACCCTGGTCACTGCTGGGATTTAGGCTGGTTTGGGTCTGGTCCACTCCTGCTGGATAAACAGCTCCAGCTCCCGACGTCCTTCCTGAGCCTGAGTCACTTGAAGCCTCGGAGAGGGCAGCACGTAGTCGATATTATGCTGGACGTCGCCCGTGCCCTCCCGCACGACTCCACCCGCACTGTCCTCCACGCCCCTGGCTCGTGAGGGCTCCCGGGATCGTGGGAAAACAGCTTGGCACTGCATTCCCCAGACAGATGTGATCGCCAACTTGTTCCCTGGCTGCCTGGTCCTCTGGGGAGGGCTGTCCTCAGACCGTGAAATGTGACTCAAACATGCTTTCATTTTCCTGTTCAGCATGACCAGAACATGGTGTTTATGGAAAAGCATCTTCACTCATTGAGCAGACATTTACGATGCACCAGCATGGCGGCTCGTCTATTTTTTGAGAACACAGAGTCTGGTGCAGAGGACACGCCAGTAAACAGGCAACCACAGACCCAACAGAGAGAGTAGTGGGTGTGGCCCCTGCTCCACAATTCCCCAGAGGAGTGGGCTGATTCTGAGGATGAGGAGGTGTGTCCCAAAGGACAGCAAAAGGACAGCAATTCCATCAAACCAGGGACTGTGGGGTTCAGGCAGCCGAGAAGGGCTGGAGCAGGGAGTACCCAAGGTCAGGGCGCAGACAGAATGGAGCAGAGATCTTACAGCTGTGCCAAGGAGTCGGGGTTTCACCTCCGGATCACTGGGGGGACTTGAAGGATTTTCAGCAGAAGAGAAGTGTGATGTGATTTGCATTTCAGGCGAGCTCTGGTGGCCTAGTGGTAAGAAGGTGGACTGCTATCCCAGAGGTGCATGGTTCAAATCCACCAGATGCTCTGCTTGAGAAGGAGGAACAATCTCCTCCTGTATCTGTCAGATCTGATTTGACGGTACACACACACAAAATAATAAAATTTAAAAAAATTAATACATTTGCATTTCAGATGTCACATAGGGGACAGGGTGGGGTGCGGGGAGCAGGGCTGGGGCGATGACATGATTGGGGTAGGCAGCTTGGCTGAGGAGCTCTGATAGTTAGGTGGTTATGCGCTCTGACGATTAGAACCACTTACAGATCGAAGGGAGAAAGAGCGGGCCGTTAGCTTCTGTAGAGACGGCGGCCTTGAGAGCTCTCTGGGCAAGTTCACGCTCTGTGACGGAAATCAACTCAGTGGACATGGATTTGGGTTTTTTGGTTTAGGATGGTGGCTTGGATGAAGTTTGCAGCAATAGGAATGAGGAGAGATGGATGAATTAACATAATTAGTTCATCTAACTAAGTGGGTAGACACTGGACAGTTGGAGGCTGGCGGTGGCATTTCCTGAGACAAGGGGACCAGGACGAGGAGGAAGATATATTGTCCGAGGTTGGACTCTCTCTCTATATAGGCAAAAGCAATGAAGCTTTATATAAACATACACACACACACACACACACACACACACACACACACATATACACACACATATAAATATATACATACATAGATAGCTGTGTACTGTCAAGTCAGAACTGACTCATAACTGACCCTTCAGCGGGTTTTCAGAGGCAGTTAATAGCATGAGAGAAGGTTGTCTGTGTTTCTCCCAGGGGGCAGCTGGTGGATTTGAGGCGCGTGCCTTTGGCTTTGCAGCACAGCTTCTCGCCCCTGGCTGACCCTCCAGTGGGTTTTCAGAGGCGATAAATTGCACAGAAGACTGCCCGTTCTTCTCCCGTGGAGCAGCTGGAGATTTGAGCTGCGCACCTTTGGGATTGCAGTGCAGCTTCTTACCACTAGGCCACCAGAGCTCCTTTATATATCTATTGTTGTGGTGGTGTGCTGTAGAGTTGGACCTGACCCCTAGCTGACTTGATGGGTTTTCAGAGGCAGTTAATCGCACGAGAGGAGAGGGCCCACCCTTCTCCTGCAGAACAGATGGGAGCCTCGAACCATGTGCCTTTGGGATTGCAGTGCTACTTCTTGCCACTAGGCCACCTATATACATATACATGTAAAAAAAATTATTTAAAAAAACATATATGTTGTTGTTGTTGATTGCCATTCAGTTGAGGACAACTCATAGCAACCCTATGAACAAAAGGCCTGAAGCCTTTCTAGAACCATCGTCATTTGTCAAATTTCATAGTTTCCTGAGGCATGTTGGAGAGAGAGAGAGTGTCAGACTAGATGCCAGCAAGTCAACTATGACACATCGTGACTCTATGAACAAACAACACATTGGAATTTTATTCTTTCCTGTGTCATTGTCACAACCTGGGCCATGCTCTCTGAGATAGTCATGCTGTTGTTATTAAATGCCGAGTCACTTGTGACACATACCAACCCTATATACAACAGCTCTGAACCCTGCTCTATCCTGTGCCAATCTTATTGTCTCCAACACGCCTATCAATCCATCTCATCGAGAGTCTTCCTCTCTTGAGCTGTCCCTCCACCCTCCCAAGAATGATGTCCCTTTCCAAGGACTGGTCTCTCCTTGCAACATGGCCAAAGCATGTCAGATGAAGCTTCAGAATCCTTATCTCCAAAGAGCAGCTTGGTTTCACCCTCCCTAGGATGAACCTGTTTGTTCTCCTGTCAGTCCATAGGATATTCAATACTCTTCTTCAGCACCATAGCTCAAAGGCATCAATTCTTCTATCATCCCTAGTCATTGTCTAGCTCTCTGATGCATAGCAAGTGATTGCAAAGACTATGGTCTGTGTCAGGCACACCTTAGTCTCTAGACTGACATTGTTTCTCTTCAGTACTCTGGAGAGGTCTCTGACAGCAGATTTTCCCAATGCAATTCGTCTTTTAATTGCCAAAAGTGTTAATTGTGGAGCCAAGCAAACTGAAATTGTTAACAATCTTAATCTCTTCATCGTCTATCATGATGCTGCCAATCGACCCAGTGGTAAGAATCTTTGTTTCCTTGATGTTGAGCTTCAATCCATAATGAAGGCTGCAGTCCTTGACCTTCTGCAGCAAGGGCTTCAGGTCCTCCTCAGTTTCAGCAAGCAGGGTTGTGTCATCTGTATAACGAAGGTTATTGATGAGTCTTCCTCCAATCCTGATGCCACATTTCTCCTCATATAGCCATCCTCCCAGATAATTTGTTCCGCATATATATTGAAAAGGTTTGGAAATAGGACATATCCCTGGCAGACACCTTTCCCAATTTTGAACCATCCAGGGTTTCCTTGCTCTGTTCTGACGACTGCCTCCAAGTATAGGTTTCGCATTAGCACAATCAAATGTTCTGGGACTCCCATTCTTCTCAGAGTCAATCACAGTTTGTTGTGATCCACACAGTCAAAAGCCTTTGCATAGTCAATGAAACACAGAGAGCCATTCCTCTGGTACTCCCTTCTTTCAGCCAAGATCCAACTAACATTGGCTCTAATATCCTTAGTACCACAGCCTCTTCTAAACCCAGTCATAAGGAAATTTAGTTAAAGGAAACAGCTCACATGCGTGTAAAGACAAGTCCCTGAGCTGTAGGTCAGACCCCAAAGTGGACCTCAAGCCATCTGGAGAAGCCAATGAGCCAGGGTCATCAGGAGGCAGGCAGGTCGCCGGCTGCTGGCTTCCGAGACAGACCAGAGCTGCCAAACACGGCAGGCCACTGACACCAGGCTAGAGGCCATGAGCCAGGCAGCCTGAGGTAGAATCCAGCAAACACTCTCACTCAAGGTTTTTCCAGAGAATCCAAACATACACTCAATGCCAGTCACGTCCCTAAGGAGACTTACCCTGAATTGGAGAAAGCAGCTTTCATCTTGACAGAAACTCTGCAGTCCTGTCCTGTTAACCTCCTGTTGTGCTTGTTGCTGTGTGCAGTCCAGTCATCCACCCACAGGGACTCTGGACAACAAACTTACTGCCACACTCAAGTCCGCTGTTGCAGTCACCGTGTCAATCTATCTTTTTTTATATAACTTGAAAGATTTAATAAATATCACTAAATTAACTATCCATCCAGAAACTATTGAACTGGTGTCTCCCAATTATCTTTTTTTAACATTGAAAACTTTTACTTTTTTCCATTGTTGCATACTCTCCTCCCTTCTCCTCCAGCTGTGTTAATCTAGCTTGTTGAGAGTCTTCCTCTCTTTCAGTTAACCTCTCCTTTTCTAAGCACGGTGTCTTTTTCCAAGGACGACCCTTCCTGACAACATACCCAAAGTGTGTGAAATGAAACTTGCCACCCGTGTCTGTAAGGAGCTACCCGGCTGTACTTCCCCCAAGATGTTGTTTGGTGGCCCACAGTGTATTTGATACACCTCGCCGACACCACAATACAAAGCCACCAATCCTTCTTCAGTCTTCTGTCTTCCTCATAGAGGTTAGAGTTTACAGAGGACAGTTACATTAAATTGGAGATCACGGCCACTTTGACACACAACATTAACCATCACCACTGTGGTTAGGGGTAGATTCTGAGTTTAGCTTTGTGTGTGTCTGTGTGTGTGTGTGTGTACCATCAAATTGGATCTGACTGGTACAGGAGGAGATTGTCCTTCCTTCTCCTGCAGTGCAACTTCTTGCCACTAGGCCATCAGAGCTCCCTTGAGTTTAGCTTTTAAGATGAATTGAAACTGGTGGCTAACTGAACTCTAAACCCAAGTGTTGGTGAGTTAGCATCTCAGAAAGCAACAGGACCAAGTATACAGCTTCTAGATCTTATTCCAGACACTCGCTAAAATAGGTACAGTTTCAGCATCCACAAATAACTCCTCTGGAAGGCCTACCCACCGAGGAAAAACCGAAATAAATGCTGAGCCAACCATTCAACCAGAATCTAGAGTTTATAAAGCTGAGAAGCAGGTGGTGACCTGAGTTAGAGTGTCCAAAGGCTAGATATAATAAAACTATGGATGGATGCTATCCGGAGGGGAGGTACACGGGAATGCCCCATTACGTCTGGGGGGGAGTTAATCAATATTACATCGTGACCTTTTTTTCCCTGTATTTTTTCCTTAAGAATAAACATTTCACAGTTTCAGAAAGTTCTCTCCAAAAATTTGGAGAACAAGACCATCCAAAGTGGGAAGGCAGGTGAGTTCTTTTCACTGGTCTGTGACATTGGAGTGTCATTGCCTTTGGGGCTCTGTTGGGCTTGGTGGGAGGCGGGCCAGGCGCCAGGTCTGTAGGTTATAATTTGAGTCCGCAGCCCAGCGTCTAACGTACCAGCTGTCCTGTAGATACTCATCGAATGTGATGAGTGACACCATGCTTGATCTGCAGTTGAGCTTGTTACAGACGTGATACAAACACGTGTGCTGGTACAAGTACTCGGACAGGATTAGGAGACCAGATAAGTGGCTAATCTCTACCCTTTTGAGCTCTCAGCAGTTAAGAAGATTCTAAAATTCAGATGGATAGACTCGGGATTATATGTTGGTTCTCATGAAATTGTTTGAATTTTCTTCAGCTTCAATTTGAACTTGCACTTGAGTAATTGACAGTCTGTTCCATAGTCAGCACCTGGCCTGGTTTGTTTAGTTTTTAAGTTTTATAATTTTTTTATTATACTAGTTTATTTACAAAATTCAAATACATTGTTTTTAAGACCAAATTCTTCCAATTTCCCTCACCTCCCCATCAAATTGTACAACCCCATGATTAACACACACACGCACACACACCCTGCACATTCTCATCCCTCTGTTTCCACCCACACCACTTGGATCCTCATACTCATTCTACAAAAATGGTTCTATACAATGTGTATCCTTGTGGGACTGAGTTAGTTCACTCAGCATAATGCTCTCCAGTCCCTCCCAAGTTAGGTAATCACAAAACGATTGCTCCTGCGTGCTGCATAGTATTCCATTGTGTGAATGTCCCATAATTTCTCAGTCCATTTGACTGTGGTTGGGCATCAGGGCTGTTTCCATGTTCTTGTAATGCTGAGTAACGCTGCTATGAACATTGGTGTATAAGTCTCCATTGGTGCTTCAGTTCTTATTCTCTCAGGGTATATTCCAAACACTAGAATACCTGGGTCATATGGAATTTCTATGTTCAGCTTTTTGAGGAAGTGCCAAACTGCCATCGAGAACAGTTGCACCGTTTTACAATCCCACCAACAATGTATAAGAGTTCCTATCCCACCCAACCTGGTTTTGACAGATGAATTTGAGCTTCTCCAACAATTCTTTGTACATATGTAATCAATCTGATTCTTATGCAATCTGTCTGGTGAGGTCTATATGTAAAGTTGCCACTTGTAATTTTTTAAAAAGGTATTTGCGATGAATAAGTCACTGAACGTGCAAAATTTGATCATTCTAATTCTGCTCGTTGCAGAAGATCAAATATTGCAGCCTTCAATATGGATTGCATCTCAGTGTCAAGAAAACAAAAATTCCCACCACTGGACTGATAGGTAGCATCATGATAGATAGAGGAAATATTGGAACTGTCCAATGATTTCTTCTTACTTGGCCCCACAATCAATACACTTGGTACCAGCAGTCAGGAGAGCAGGAGACATAATATACTGGAAAAGTCTGCACTTAGAGACCTCTCTAAATTATTGAGGTGCAATGATATCAGTTTAAGAACTAAGGTGCACCTGACTCAGGCCACAGCCTCTCTTGCTATGTATCTGAGTCACTTGCTGGGTATCGAAGTAAGGATGACAGAAGAAGAATTGATGCCTTTGAACCATGGTGTTGGAGAAGAGTACTGAATTTCCTACGGACTGTCAAAAGAACAAACAGATATGTCTTTAAGAAGGTGCAGTGAGAGGAGATGATAAAGCTTTGTCTCACATACTTTAGGCATGTTGCTAGGAGAGGCTATTCATTGGAGGGGACATCATGCTTGAGAAGGTGGAGAAATGGTGAAAGAGAAAAAGACCTTCAATCAGGTGGATTGACACAGTGACTGCAGCAATGGACTCCAGTGTGTCAGAGATTGTGAGGACAGCTCAGGATAGGACGGGCTTCAGATTTATTATTCATGGGGTCGCTAGGATTTGTACTCAGTTTGATGATATCTCAAAACAACAACAACAACAACAACAACATGTGCATGTGAAAACTAGGTGATGAATAAAGAAGACCAAAGAAGATGTGATGCACTTGAACTGTGCTGTTGGCAAAGCGTATTCCATATACCACGGATTGCCCGTCTTGGGAGAAGCACAACTAAAATACTCCTTCGATGTGAGGATACTTTATCTCGAGGATTTTGGACGTGTTACGAGGGAAGGCTAGTCCCTGTGAAGGACACCCTGTTTGGTAAAGCAGAGGGCCCTCAAAATGAGAGGCAGAGTTTGCAGAGATGGGTTGACATGACGTCTACAACAACGCACAAGCATGGAATTTATTGTGAAGGCAGCACGTAACGAGGAGGTGTTTTCTGTTGGAGATGAGCTCACCAGGAACTAGACCTGACTAGATGGCATGTACCACCCCTGAAGGCCAGCAGTGCCGATGTTGAGAATCCCTCCAAGAGAGGATGGCAAGATGAGCATCCTCCTTACCCCAGAGCGTTCCAGCCAGTGTCCCTCTCCTCACCTGCCCGTCTCTAAACTGGAGGACAGCTGGCCTGCCTCTCAAACCCTACAGCTCTCAGCTGAGAGCCCTCTTGGATGTCTCACTTTGTCATCCAGCAAGACTGTTTGCTGGAACCCTGAAGAAACCCTAGCAAGCTCCTTGGCAACCAGCACCATCTCCTCCTCATCTCCGGTTCAGCACAGGCCCCAAAGCCTCTTGTCTGTGGTCCGCTTCGCAGCTCTGACTGGATGAAGGAGGGCATGAGGGAAGTGGGCTCGCCTTTGGGTAGCAACGTTACTACACCATTTGCTCAGCAATATTTTCTCTCCTCAGATGTGATCCTCGACTGCTTGGGTATCAAGTGGGAGCTGCATCAGAGCCAGCTGTTTAAGTCCGAGACCCTGGCCAGGCTGTACTTGGCAGCTGTGTCCAGGGGCACTGAGAACCCCCGGAAGGTGCTGGAGAAGCTGCTGAAAGGTAACTTCCTGTGGGTCTAGCCTGGAGGCCCAAATGCCCCCAGACAACACTCGGTGGACCCATAGTTATCTACTGTGGGGTCACAATCACACTGAAGGCTATAAGCAGTGCTGTGGTCATTTTCCCTGGACTAGCTGGATGACCTCAGCCCCTGAAGGAACCTGTTTCCTGAGCAGTGAAATGGGATAATAGTTCTCCCAGCCTTGAAGATTAGGGGAGGCATACTCGTGAGATTCTAGGACAATGCCTGGCACATGATGCTGTGGTTATTGGGCACCATCAGTCCCCTCTGTCCTGTAGTGACCTTGTGTACAGCAGCTCGGAACACTCCCCGGGCCGGCACCATTTCACAGTCCTCGCTCTGAGCCCATTGCAGTAGCCACCGTGCCAATCCGGCTCCACGAAGGTCTTCCCCGTGTCCTCCAGCCTCTGCTTTTCTGCGCATGGTTCTCCAGGGCCTCACCTGAGAACATGGCTAAAGTATGTGAGATGAAGTTTCTCCATTCTGGCTTTTTAAGGGGCCTTCTGGCTACATTGCTCCCAAGTCCGATATGTTTGTTCTTCAGGCACAAAGAGATCACTTAGTAAATGTAGGTTACTGTTCTCTGGGGGCCTAGTGGTAAGTAATCCCAAAGGCACCTGACTCTAATCCACCAGCTGCTCCGTGGGAGAAGGCTGGGCAATCTCCTCTGTGTGACTTTTAGCTTCTGAAAACTCACTGGAGGCACAGCTGTGGGTCAGCTCTAACTCCACAGCGACAACATTGCTAATGTAACCCACCTACTGTCCAGACAGACTGACCTGCTTGCACAGACACTCACAGCCCCATTGCTAAGGGAAATGGATGATGCTGTCTTCAAAGGGCTTTCTGGAAGGCAGAGGCTGGTGGAGACTCCTCCAGACCCTGTCCTCAGGCTCACTTGGGTGCCCTTTGACTTCCTCAGTATCTGCCCCACTGTCTGTCTCCTGGGCACGCGGGGCCTTCACTGGTGCATGCAAATCCCCAGTGCATAGGTCATTAACTCAGACAGCAAATCTGTGGAAAAGCTAGAGTGGAGGATAGAACAGTGGGATGGGCCCCTTTGCATTATGGTCTTCATGGTGTCTGAAACAATTCTTTATTTTCAACAAGTTAAAGAAATTTTAATAAAGAAATCATATTTTAAAAATGCATTCATTAAAGCAAAATAAGAATACAGTGTGACACACATCACGACGGAGATGCGGAGCGGTGGGTCCTTCACGCTGGACCCCGTCAGCCTCCCCGGTCTGACCATATCACCATCCAACTTTCCTTTCTTAGGTCAGTTACCTGGGAATCGTCAAACACCGATGATGACCATCTCGCTGAGGATCAACGACCCTCTGGTCACCAGAAGTGGTAATGCCTACTTGTCTTTCTTCTTTGGGAATGCCAGCTAGCTAACAGTCCTCCCCAAGCCAAGCCAAGCAAAAAGGACAGCCATAGAGTGACTGACGTACACCGCTCACGGCTGCCTCTTATACGGGAGGAGCGTAGGCACAGGCACAGCTCGTTTGCTGTGAGTCCCACAGCTGGGCTGCTCGCAGGTGAGAACTTTGTGGCAACAACGGTGTGTGGATGCTGTTTCCCCAGCAATGTGCACTCTCTTTGCACCTCACCCTGTGTCGTTTCATGTGCTCACTCTGTGTCCCAGTTTCGGTAATTCTCACAGTATTCCAAACTTTTCACAGTGTTATTGCAGTTAATGGACTAGCAGGAATGTAATCTTGCAGGGGTGGGGGTAACAATAACAAAAAATCATGGGATTTGCTTCATGTCTATACTCATTACGCTTTATTGCTGTGGTCTAAAACCAGACTCACAGCTCCCAAACATGTCTAGACAAAGAAAAAAAAGGAACAGAGGAAGTAGGGACCACCTGAGAAATAGAAGAAGGCAAAAGGCAACTTCAGAGAGATGTGTGTTGTTGGATAAGAGCTGTAAAATAAGCAGAAGGAAGGGAATGGAGGAATTCTCAAGACAGACCCCAGACCACACAGCCCTTCCCACGCCCACTGGCTGGCTTCTGGACTGAACTTCTGCTCGCAGGATCTGCTCCTGGGCTCGCTCGCCCTCTTCCTTCCAGCCACCCAGAGACAGGCTTCTGTGTTAGTGCACCGGGAGCTCTTCCATGAGAAGTCGCTGGCTAGTGAAAGGCCAGGAAATCACGCAGCTGTGCACTAGGGTGAACCAGTTGTCCTCAGAGCACGTTCTAAACACATTCCAGTCCTGTTTGAGATCATAGAAAACGTGGGTGAGTTAAGTCCAGCCTGGCTCCCAGCCAAGGTAGTTTTGTTCCTGGACTTTCTGGTCATCCTACCTCCTTCCAGGGTCCTTAACTTTCTTGAGATTTCCCAGACACAGAGAAATCAGCTGTCAACTGTGAGGCATTTCCAAAGGGGAAAAAACTCCCTACCTGCAAATAACAAGTTGTAGAGCTCTGAGGTAGGTAGTCACAACCCTTCCTAAGCTGTAGCTTCTCGGTTAGGGAAAGTGCCGCTGGCATAGAGTCATGCCTAGTGAGGACTTGTTATGTGTCCCCGTGACACCGTCCTCCACGGGGCTTTCAGTGAGGGTATTTTGCCTGTAGAAAACCAGCTTATCTTCGAGGGTTTCCTTTGGGTGAACGTAAAGCTCCATCCTTTCAGACAGCAGTCAAGCTTGTGTTAACCATGTGCATCACGTAAGCACCTTTCAGATTAAGAAAACCAAGAGCTAGGGAGCTCTGGTGGCCTAGTGGCAAGAAGCTGCAATGAAATCCCAGAGGCATGTGGTTCGAATCCACCAGATGTTCTGCTGGAGAAGGAAGGACCATCTCTACCCGTACCAATCAGATCCGATTTGACGGTACACACACACAAAATAATAAAATGAAATAAAAAAAACCACAAAAACAAACCCAAAAACCCAAGAGCTAACCCACTGCACCACCTCACACCCTGGAGGTATAGGGCGTGTCAGGCTGCTGACCAAAAGGTCAGGGGTTGGAGTTCACCAGTTGCTTCAAAAATGGGCAGTTTCCTCTTATAAAGACTTGTCCTTGTGTACCCTTGAGTCAGAACCAGATGATGGCTGACCCTCCAGTGAGCTTTCAGAGGCATTAACTCACACAGGAGGAGAATGCCAATCTTCTTCATGCCGAGCAGTTAGTGGATTCGAACCTTGTGCCTTCAGGTTGGCAGTGCAACTCCTTACCACTAGGTCACCACTGCTTCTTCGTACTCCCAGCCTTGGAAACCCTAGAGAGGGTGGCTGTGAGGCAGACAGAGGAGAACGGCCCATAGGGTTTCCAAGGCGGTAAATCATTATAGGAGTTTGCCATAGCTTTCTCCCAGGGTGGGACTGGTGGGTTCAAAGCACTGACTTTTCAGTTAGCAAATGAACACTTAACCACTTAGTATAGCAGCAGGCTTGGTAGGAAGAGCAGCTGAAATGGTCCCCCAAGGTGTATACCAGCAGGTTTTCTGAAATATCTTGTTTCCGTGGGCTTTATCAGCAGCACCTAGTGGAAAGCTGGGAGCACAGAGCATCAGGTCCCCGGCCAGCCTGCACCCAGGTCAAAGCAGGTCTCTTTCCTCCAAAGTGCATTCTGGGAGCAAGCTCAAGGCAGCCAGGCCGAGGTGCCTGCAGGACAGAGACACGCAGAATAGGAGGGTCCTGCACACACAAGTCCTTTCAAATCATCTTCCTCTGACTCTGCCTCCTCTCCAGCTTTTGCCACAGCCCTGAAGAACCTCTGTATGAACAAGGTGGACATTAACACGGAGGACGTAATGGGAGTGCTGGCTGCGGCGCACCTCCTCCAGTTCAAGGACCTTTTCCACAGGTAAGGAAGAGTTGAGTGCTGGATGAGGGCAAGGTCCAGCCCCTTTCCTAGGCCCTCCCTCTTTCCTGGGCTGAGACACCTGAGCTTTCTCTGCACAGGGCTTTGTGATTGGAGAACTAAGACACTTGTCTACACCAGCATAATATCAGGTCAGGATTGAGCCTCTCTCCAGCTGCATGCCCCTTTTACCAAGTGGTTCTTGGTTCATGGAACGGAGTGCAATGCAATGCATGACATGTAACCAAACGACTCTTGATTTATGGGGTGAAATGCAAAGGGTGGCATTTAATCAAATGTTCTTGGCTTACAGAATGGAATGATGAGGTTTCTGACTGGGAGAGCCTTTGCAAGCACACAAATGGGTTTTCCAGTAACACTCACTCTTGCTTATTCATCAGTTCTGCCTATTTTCACTTTGAGATAAAGTACCTGGAAGAGATCCAATTCGCTTCCATTCTAGAAAGAGGTAATCCCAAAGAATGTGAAAGTCATTGAACAATATTGTTAATATCACATGCAAGTAAAATCTTACTGAAGATGGTTCAAAAACGGCTGGAACAGGTCATAGAGAGGGAACTTCCAGAATGCCAAGCTGGATTCAGAAGAGGCTGTGGCACGAGGGACGTCACTGCTGATGGATGGATCTTGACTGAAGCAGAGCATACCAGAAAGATGTTTACCTGTGTTTTATTATCACCCAGTTCCCACCCACAGGCAGGCGCATGCGTGGGTGTTAAGCGCGGCACAGAGAAAGAGGAGGATTTAAAGCCAGCTAGGACGTGGATGAACCCCGGAAACATGACGCTGGGTGACAGAAGTCAATCATGACAGGACACCAGTTATTGGATTCCTTCTCTGTGAAGTATTTGAACGAGACAGATGCTTAGGGAACAAACTGTCAGGGTAAGGGGCAGGTGCGGGGTCTCTCCAGGGATCTCACATGTTTCAGTCCACTTTGTGCAGTGTCCATGCAGCTAAACTCACTCCAGAATTGCTTTGACCACTCGTCTCACGCCCACCCTGTGTCCCTGAGGCCCCTCTGGTCACGGACACAGATGCCCCAGGCCTGAGAGATGTGGGAGCTCAGAGGCAGGGACACTGTGGTGTCTGCAGAGGACTCATGAGGAGGGGACCACTCAAAGCTGTTGTCACCAGATCAGTCCTGACCATCACTGCCCTGCAAGTCCGAGCACTCGGGCGCCAGGGACTGTAAGCTCAGCAGAAGCCAGCTGCTCTTCCTTTCTCTTGTAGAACTGCTGATTTTTTTTGTTCGTTGTGGAACACATTGACTACTGCACTAAGATTCTCACCACTGGACCAATTGACAGCATCAGGATGGATGGTGAAGAGATTGAGATTGTTCACAGCTGTAGTCTGCTTGGCTCCACAGTCAACACTCTCGGCACCAGCAGCCAGGAAATTAAAAGACGTATTGTGATGGAAAAGTCTGCTGTTATGGACCTCTCCAAAGTACTGAAGAGCAATGGTGTCGCTCTGGAGACTAAGGTGCACCTGATACAGGCCATGGTTTTTGCAATCACTTGCTATGCATCAATGAGCTGTACAATGACAAGGGAGGATAGAAGGAGAACTGATGCCTTTGAGCTGTGGTGTTGGAGAAGAATATTGAATATACCATGGACTGCTAGGAAAACGAACAGTTTCATTCTAAAGAGGGTTAAACCAGACTGCTCCTTGGAGGCAAAGATTCTGAAGCTTCCTCTGACATACTTTGGACATGTTGCAAGGAGGGACCAGTCCTTAGAGAAGGACGTCATGCTTGGGAGGGTGGAGGGACAACATAAGAGAGGAAGACCCTCTATGAGGTGGATTGATTCAGTGACTGGGGTAATGGGGGTGGGTGTGTCAGAGACAGTGCGGTTGGCACAGGACAGAGCAGGTTTAGGGCTGTTGTATACAGGGTCACTATCAGTCGCAGGTGAGTTGACAGCACATAACACCACCACCACCAGGGGAGGGGATTGCAGGTGCTCTGGGTATCCGGGAGCTGTAAGAAGAGGCAGAGAGGTCTGGAAAGGCCTGACCTGTCAGAGCCCAGGGGGGGCTGCTGTGAGAGTGGGAGAAGCAGGAGTGGGTGTTGGGGGGTGTTGGGTAAACCCAGGGTTCTGGGGCTGGGTTTTCCCAAGGTCCCTCCCACCTTCTACTCTGTATCTCCATCATCAGCTCGAAGGACGTAGGTATCACAGCCCGCTTGTCTTCAGGGCACTCAGAGGTGCTGTCTCCTCACATGATCGCGTCGTGTAAACTCTGAAGTTTCTTGTTGCCTTAAATCCACAGCCAGGCTTGTCTGGGGAGCTACCCCAACAGCAGGCTCTTCCTTTGCCGCCTCTCCAACTCCTTGCTCGGGCTGCCAGCCTTGAAGGGTTTTGCTGACAAAGGGCCAGGCGTGTCATTTCTCTGATGAGCAAACCTGGCTGCCTGGGGCCCTGAGGCCCACCCTGGATTCCACAGATAGTTGTGCAGGGACTGGGCCTCTTACTCAGAGGCCAGGGTGGGTCCTGGCATGCAGCTGGGCTGGGTCTCACCTGGCTTCCAGAGGCTGGAGGTGGCCACAGGCAGGGGTGTGGCTGGCCAGCAGCAGTCTTAATGTGCAGTTGAACAGAAATATCCCCAGGCCGCTCCCAACCACCAGGGCATCCAGGCTGACCACACACACCTTCAAAGTCCTCCCAGCCGCTTGGACAGCTGTTCACACCTGAATCGCTCACACCTGTGTCTTCACCTTTGTGGGGAGAGGGAGGAAAGGGAAAGGTGTGCATGGGTTTTACAGGTGGTGGAGTTTTCATATATGTTGTCTGCACTGAAGGTGAGGTGGAGCCTTGGAATACGAACACACACACACACACACACACACACACACACACACACACACAGGAGTTTCCCTGTAGTCTGCTTGGTTCCAGGCTATGTCAGAACTTCCGTTCAGTTGGAATATTCTAGAACAGTTCCATTTTCCCAAAGGAGACCCTGTCTGTGTCTCAAGCCCTCCCCCATCCCCGGCCCACCATCATCCGCCCCCGTTTCCCCTGATTTGTCCAGTATGCGACGTTGCAGCACATGACCGTCTGTGTCTGAAGCCTTTCCCGTGGCGTGGCCTTTTGAGGGCCTGTCCACACTGCAGCGCACGTCAGTGCTGTACTCCTTTCCAAGAGGATAACAGGCACCTCGTATCTGGGGTCCACTTGAGCCCTGGAAGGAGGAGATCCAGAACCCACAGAGCAGCCCGGCAGATAGAGAAAATGATGGCTTGGGCAGCAGAGTGACCAGATGCCCCTGGACTACACCCTCTGGGAGGAACCGTGATGACACAGGGGTTTACTTGTAGGGCTGTTGACAGAAAGGTTGCTTGGTCAAAGCTACCAACTGCTCTGCAGGAGGAAGATGTGGCAGCCGGCTTCTGCCAAGATGATGGTCTTAGAAACCCCGGGCAGGGGCTGTGGGTCTGTCTCCTCTGTCCACAGGCTCGCTGTGCATGTGACCAACTGGACAGCGTGGGTTCCTGGGGCTTGGGGTGCATTTCAAATGTTTCCATTCTGAACAGCGATACAGCTCCCTGGTTTTCACGTTTCTTTGTCAAGTGTTTGCTCGCAGATCTTCCTTCTTTACAACAATCCTTGTTGGGTTTGTCCTCTGGCCATAAGTCCACCTCCCTAAAGTGAAGGTGGTTAAGTGAGGGGGCCCTGTCCCAGTTCCAGAGGGAAGTGGAATCCTCCCAGCTACTTGCTTCTCTGGAAGCAGCCCAGCTCCCCCAGGACTATCCCATCTCTCTCTCTGCAGGTGTGTGACCCTCATGATACAAGGAATCACGCCAAGTACCGTCAAGAACTACTACACGGTCGGCTGCAAGGTAAGTGCTACCTGGAGAGGTGGGTCGGTGGGTCGCAAAGGAGAGGAAGCTCCCAGTGCGATGTGAAGGCACCTAGCAATCTCAAGGCCTCCAGCTGTCCATGTTGAATTTTGTCAAATGGACATAGTAAAATAATTTTCTTTCTAAAAGAACATTTTAATCCTAAAGCAATAGAAAGGACATTTTGCTGAGGCTGGTGTATGTCGCACTGACGCTGGGGCGCTGTCAGTGTTAGGATGGGAACGCGACGGGATTCTAGCCGGCCACGTGCTCAGGAGTGACAGTGCTGAATGTGATGGCCAGACTCCTGATTCCTGACTCCCATTGATCAGAGCTCACACACAAAGCAAAGTGCTTCACTGTAACACGTTCCCACACCATGTGGCCTGGGGCTCCCAGCCTCATATGCAGGTGGTTCAATGGCAAGTCTCACTTTATCAGATGCAGGAGACCTGGGTTCGATTCCCTGCCAAAGCACTTTGTGCTCAGCCCCCACCCATCTGGCAGTGGAAGCTTGCTTTTTTAGCAGACTATGGTGCAGTTTTCGATTGGAGCTTACAGACCAAGACATGCTGGGAAGACACAGTGACCCACTTTCAAATACCAGTCGGTAAAAATCCTGTGATCGCATGTGTCTAATCCTGAAGCTGGTCTTAGGGCTGGCATGGGCCGGGGAGCCTTTCATCCGGTGTGCAGGGGTCTCGGGCTCAGAAGTTCGCTCGGGAGCAGCTAACAATGAGAATGACTGCAAATCCTGTTTTGTCCCATAATTTTTTTTATAGTCGCCGTTTGTAATTTTTTTGTTTTGTTTTGTTTTTCAAATTGTGATTTTCATGGAGGTTTACAGAAAGGTTGGATTTCATTCATTCATTGTGGCACATTTTCCTCCCTAAACACCCCCAAGTTAGCTTTTTTTAAAAAAAAAATTTTATTGAGATTTTAATGAAAGTTTATAAAGGACTTGGGTTTCCAATCATCCATTGTTGCACATTTTCCTCCCTGGCCCCCTCCCCTCAGATTGCTTTTTTCTTTGGGAGAAAGTTCTTTCATTATTATACAGTCTCCCCACCCCCACCCGGAAGACCACTTCACTGTGCAGCTTTTATTCTGAACTCTTGTCATGTCAATAATACCTAATTATATATTCCTCTTTAGCTTTTTTTTTATAAAAAATTCATTCATTGTTGCATAATTTGCTCCCTATTCCTCACCCCGCCTCAGTCCATTTTGCATTATACCCCTTATTCTGGGCTCTTGTCATAAAATTAATGCCTACTCATATATTCCTTTTCAACAGTTCTTCCCTTCATCTGTTCCAATGCAGTGTTCATTATCTATCCCCACTTTGCTTATTTCCTCCCCAACCCTCATGTCAGTCCTGGTTTTGTTAAATTATAAAACTTTTCATTTTAATTGTGATTTTTAATTAAAGTTTACAGAAAAGTTAGATTTTTTATTTTAAATTGCTTTTCATGAAAGTTTACAGAGACTTTGGATTTCCATTTATTCATTGTTGCACTCTTCTCCCTATTGTAGCCCTTCCCCCAATTTGCTTTTCTTTTTGAAAAGTAAAAGAAAAAAATTCTTTCATTGTTATTCAATCCCTCCCTCAAGTCCACTCCACTGTGCAGCCTTAGTTCTGGACTCCTGTCATCACAATAATGCCTAATCATGTCAGTCCTCTTTTATAACAGTGGCATTATGCCATATTTGTCTTTTTGTAACTGACATATTTCACTCAGCATACTGTCCTCCAGGATCATCCATTTTGTGTATTATTTCACGAATTCCTTGTTTTTCAATGCCGCATAGTATTCCATTGTGATGTCAGTCCTGTTTTATCACAGTGGTGTTATGCAGTATTTGTCCTTTGGTGACTGAGATGTTTCTCCGCATAGTGTTTTGTTTTGTTTTTAATTTATTATTAATTTCAGTGAAAATTTACAGAGACTTTGGGTTTACATTCGTTCATTGTTGCACTTTTCTCCCCTCCCAACCCTTCCCCCTAGTACACTACCTCTTGGAAAAGTAAAAGAAAAATTCTTTCATTGACCACATGTTTTAAAGAAGTTTGAGCACTTCTGCAGCCTGAGACTCCAAGGACACACACATGCAGTGTCCCCGTGGGGCAGCAGAGGGCGCCAACCGTTCACAGGTGCTTTACCTGCTGGGTTTTCTTGCCTTTTCAGTACAAGGAGGAGCAGCTCACCAAGGCCTGCGAGAAGTGGCTGGAGATAAACCTGGTGCCTGTGATGGCCACGCGGATCTCCCTCCGGAGTCTCCCGCAGGAGCTGCTCTACAAAGTGCTCAAGTCCCCCAGGTCAGACCTGGCCCAGGTGGTGTGTGTGGGCTCGCAGGTGTGAGCATGAGCACTGGTGTGATCGTGGGTGCTGACCCACACCGGGGCTGGACGGTGCCCACCGACCCACACCGGGGCTGGACGGTGCCCACCGACCCACACCTGGGCTGGACGGTTCCCACCGACCCACACCTGGGCTGGACGGTTCCCACCGACCCACACCGGGGCTGGACGGCGGTGCCCACCGACCCACACCGGGGCTGGACGGTGCCCACCGACCCACACCGGGGCTGGACGGTGCCCACCGACCCACACCGGGGCTGGACGGTGCCCACCGACCCACACCTGGGCTGGACAGTTCCCACTGACCCACACCTGGGCTGGACAGTTCCCACCGACCCACACCGAGGCTGGACGGTGCCCACACTTCTGCCCTGCTGGGATTCAATCAACTGGACACGCAGGTGCTATGCCAGGGGTGTAGGAACCCTGTTGGCACAGTGGAAACCCTATGTGGCAGTTCTACTCTGTCTTATAGGGTCTCTGTGACTTGGGATCAACTCAACAATAAGAAGTTGTGAAGAGAGTGTGGGGGGGGGGTTGGTGGGGTTGGTCCCTTTACACTTTTTCATCTTAGTGGGCCCCTCAGGGTGCCTGTTGGCTCATTGCCCACGTGGGAGAGAAAACAGGAAAAGCCTCATTACCAAAGTAATTGTTTTAAAAACCCTGGTGACGCCCATTTGTATTGGTTGTGTCCAGTTTGGAAAGTAGGAGAAAGCAGAGGGCAAGCAGGGCCTCCTCCTCCAGCCCTGACTCCTCCCCTGAAGAGTTCTATTGTCCTCTCAGCCCCTCCAACATTTGAGCTAAAATAAAATGGTCCGCTAGGTGTACACACACCACCCCCAACCCATTCCACTCCTTCTCCCCAGCCCCCCAACCCCCGCTTCAGCAGCCCTTCCCCGGGTACCTCCACCTCCCAGCTGAACCTGGAGGGTGACTGTGGACCCTGCTTTACTCTTACTCGTTGGACCTAGTCAGAGCTGTCCATGGGTCACCCAAGACCATGGCCCCGATGTAATCTCTACCTGGACTAACACTGTGGCCTCTCTCTCTGTCACTTGCTTCTGCCCTTCAATCATGTTTCTAACCAAGGACCTGCCTTCAAAGGTGAGATAAATGCACTGTAGCCTCCTTCCATCTCTTAACCACAGGGCCACCCCTCCTCCCCTGCACTCTTCTCCCCATACGACTCCTGTGTGCGCTGCCCGTCTGCGGAAACACTGGCCCCAGTGTGGCCTCTTTTCACCCTCTGAGTACCTCCCGGGGGCCATTCTCCAGGGCTTGGCCATTGAGTTAGATTATTCCCAATGGTACACGAATGTAAATAGCACTTTGTTAAACTCCCTGCAAACTGCACTGACCTTCGTCTTAGATTGTTACCTTCTCTTAAATTCTTCAAGCAACAGTCGGTGTGAGCATGGCAGCGGTCATGAGGCGGGCAGGGCACAGGGCAGGATTCCTATCTGTTGACACTGGGGTCGCTGTGAGCTGTAGTTGACTCAATGGCACCTAACAACATCAAATTTCTATGAAAGACACTAGGAAAATCCCAAGGCCATTTGGCTTCATTTTACCAGTCTTTCATTTTTAAAACCAAAACCAAAACCACAACCAACCACTATGTTCTTTGTAAGTTATTTCAAGCTTACAGAAAAATTACAATAGTCCCCAAGATAAATCTACACACCCTTTCCTCTGATTCACTCTATGAATCAGTTCAGTTATTGTCCCGTTTGCTTAATCATTTCCTCTGCTGTGTACCCATAGACACACATATGGTTTTCTCCGAAGGCTGTGAGGGTAAGTTACATACATCATGCTTCATTACTTCTAAGAGTTTCAGTACTTACTTCCTAAGGGAAAACCCCCTCTCTTTTAGAATCACCGTGCATTAGGGAATTTAACACTGATGTACCTCTCTACAATCACTACTTCAGCTCTGCCCTTTATAGCATTCTCTCTCCTCCAGGACTCAATCAGTCTAGAATCACAGTGCCTAGAGTTGCCAAGTTCCTCTGGAGCTCTTTTTAAACAAGTTTCTTGTTACCCATTGTTGTTTGTTGTTTTTCATTTATGTTGAGTTGGAACAGACTCACAGCTAACACCCTCCCCCAGTGGGTTTTATAAGGCTGTAAATTACATGGGAGGAGATTGCCCAGCTTTCTCCTGAGAAGCAACTGGGGGACTCGAACCACCTTCCTTTGGGTTGGCAGTGCAGTTCCAAGGTAATATTCCCTCTGGATATATTTCACACGTGTGAACTGAATGCTATTCAATATTTGAGAGGTATGTTCTAGCATAAATGTTTGCTCTTCTTTTTGTGATAGAAAGCCTTTTTATTTAGAAATAGATTTAAAAAGATTTACTGTACTTTTGGCTTGAGTTTACCAAGTAGTTTATATTCTCAAGAGTGGTGGAAGAAACCTTATGGTGTTGAAAAACTAAGAACAAACTAAACCCTGTTGTACTGAGAGAGGCCCACTTAGCCTCTTAATCAGGAAAGTGTCTGGAGCTTGGGTGCCGGAGCCGCCTGGGGTGTGGGTGTGTCCTCAGGCTGTCCCTGCTTTTCTCTGGGCATGCCTCTCCCGCTGTCCCCCAGTACAGCTTATGCAATCATGGAAGAGAGATAAACATGGAAGCCCTTGGGCTTTTCACCAGTGTCACTCCCTTGGAAAGACTGAGCTGTCCCACCTGGTAGCATTTAACCAAGAAATGGGGAAAGAAAAGGTCTGACCACAACCAGCACGCTAATGATGGGACATGTCTAGTAAAAGGCTCAAGAATATGACCTGTCTAGCATCTAGACTCACGGCTTTGGGGAGACATGATTGGCGTGGGTGCTGAGTGCTCTGGTCCCTCCCCAGAGCTGTTTGCACAGATGCTCCAGGGTCAGCCCAGCTGAAGGAGGGGACGGCTCTACGTGGCCTCTGGGACTTCATTAGCCTGCAAGGCGAGCATGACCTGGTCTGACAGTGGTCAGCAATCACACTCAGGCCAGGTGAACTCTTCTGCTCCGGTTGCTTTCTGTCTCTACCTTAAAGTTTGTATCAGAGGTGCTGGAGCTGCACCCCATGCATGGTGAGATTGTTTAAAATACAACCAGTCCTGGGGGCCTCATCTTAGTGCCCCTACTTATGCCAGGCTGCTAGCTCGTGGATCTAGTGCAGGTGCCACTGCTGATGAAGATGGACATTCTGGTGACCTACCTTTCATCCAGACCTCTCTCTTTTCTCTCATTCATCTCTCTCCCCTCTTCCCTCTCACCTCTCTCTCTCCCCCAGCCTCCCTCCCTCCCTCTTTCCCTCCTTCTCTCTCTCTCTCCGCCTCCCTCCCTCCCTCCCTCCTCCTCCTCCTCCTCCTTCTCCTCCTTTCTTCTTCTTCTTCTCCTTCTCCTTCTCCTTCTCCTTCTCCTCCTCCTCCTCCTCCTCCTCCTCCTCCTCCTCCTCCTCCTCCTCTTCCTCTCTCTCTTCCCTCCCCTCCCCACTCTCCTCTCCCTCTGTGGTATGATACATACTGGACCATTATGCAGTATCATGATAGATGCAGGAAAGGATGAACTTCTCAAGGATTTCATTTTACTTAGATCCACAAACAATACTCTTAGCAACACCAGTCCTGAAATCCCTTAGGGAAATCAGCTGTCAAGGACCTTTTCAAAGTGTTAAAGAGCAATGAAATCAGCTTAAAGACTATGGTGCACCTGATCTAAACCATGGTGTTTCCAAATGTTTCTGTGTATCTGAAAGTTGGAAAATGAATAAGTAACAGAAGAATTGGTGCCTTTGAATGGTGATGTTAGAGAAGAATACTGAGTATCCCATGGATTTCCAAAAGAACAAGCAAGTCTATCTTAGAGAAAATATAACTAGAGTGCATTGAAGGGAAAGGAGGGTAAAGGTTTTGTCTCACGTGCTGTGGGAATGCTGTCAGGAGGATCCAGTTCCTAGAGAAAAGCATCATGCTGGGAAAGGAGGGGGGGGGGTCAGTGAAGGAGAGGAAGACCTTCATCAAGATGCGTTGACAGTGACTGCAGCAATGGGCTCACGTAAATCTCAAGATCATGAGAATGGTGAAAGATACGCCACGTTCAGATCTGTCTGATCCAGTGTTCATAGGGTAACTTTGAGCCCTAGTCAACTTGACAGCAACTAACAACACAACATGCTATATACAGAAAGATTTCTCTATAATGTTAAAAAAAAAGTCCCAAAGAGGTCATGTTTAGGACTAAGGTGAGCCTGATCCAAGCCATGGTGTTTTTATCATTTCGTTTCATGTGAAAGCTGGACAATGAGTGAGGAAGATCAGAGAAGAATTGATGCCTTTGAATTACTGTGCTGCTGGGGAGTGGACCACAGATAGTTAGAAGAAGGAACAAACCAGTCTTGGGAGAAATACAGCCAGAATGTTCTTTAGTAATGTGGATGGTGAGTCTTCGTCTCAGGTACTTTGGAAACTGATACCTAGAAGCTGTTGCCTGGATGGTACAAGGAAACACAACATGGTTCAAGATCAAGAAAGGAGTGTATCAGGGATGTGTCCTTTCTCCAAGCCTTTTCAATCTGTATGCTAACAGGTCATTCGAGTGGCTGGACTTTATAAAGAAGAATGTGACATCAGGATTGGAGGAAGACTCGTCAACAACCTGTGTTATACCGATGATACAAACTTACTCGCCAAAACGAAGCTGAGGAGAATTTGAAGCATTCACTGCAGAAGGTCAGAGACTGCAGTTTTCAATATGGATTGCTTCTCAGCCTCAAAAAAACAAGGGGCGCTCTGGTGGCCTAGTGGCAAGAAGCTGCACTGCAGTCCCAGAGGTACACAGTTGGAACTCATCAAATGCTCTGCTGGAGAAGGAGGGGCAATCTCCTCCTGTACCAGTCAGATCCGATTTGACAGTTCACACACAAATAAAGAAATATATTTAAAAGAAAAAACAACCAACAAATAATCAAGAA